TGAGTGGGGACAGTATTGAAGAGGACAGTAGGCTTCAAAAGACTTACTTTCAGGAAAAGACCTTTTTCAGGAAACTGGTAAAAAAGCAAATGCTTGGTGGGAAGTTGGCTAAGATGGATACGAGGCAAGTTTTTGGTGAGGAACTGTTCTGGAGCTCACGTGGGTGTGTGAATTTAGCAGGTCACTGAACTGTGTATTTAGAGTGAGTGTACTCCATTATATGTAAGTTGTACCTCCGTGAAGTTAGTTTTAAAATCAAAGGAACAGGTAGAGATGGAAAGGACATTAGCAGTTACCAAGGTGGGGTAGGAGATTGGTAGATGTACGGATCTTGTTTAGGGTAATAACGTACTTAGAACCAGTAATGAGAGCTGTCCATTGGGAATGTAATTAATGCCACTGAACTCTACATTTAAAAATAGTTACAATGGAAAACATGATGTTACATGTTACCACAATTTAAAAACTGTAAGACAAACAACAACCTGATTGTGTCCCACCTCTGCCTGGGCCAAGAGACCCTAGAGGAGTCACTGACCCTGTGAGCCGGGGCTGCCATGCTGCAGAGATAAGACTGCCCAAGGTGCAGCGCCAGCGCAGCGCTCACACGAGGTGAGGTGTGTGGAGGAGGAAAGCCCTGTGTAGCAGAGCTCGCTTGCACTTGCACATATTTTCCGCCAAGGAGGAGCTACCTGGAATGACACCCCCTTGTGGATGTCAAGGAAGGAGATAGGTGTGCACAGACACAGGGCCCAGCCTTCTGGGTGTGTCTTCCAGGCACCAGGCTCCCATGTGGGATGAGTACCCTGTGTTACCCTTCAGTCCTCACCCACCACCCCTCTTCCAGTGGGGACCCTTCCTCTCCCACATGAGACACTGGCCCCCAAGGGATTGAGTTTAGAGTCCCAAGGCTTCTCCAGAGGAGAAAGGATCACAGGTCCTAACCAGGTGGCAGCATTTTCTTGTTGAACAACTGGAGTTTCTCCTACGTCAGCATCAGATAGTCCGCTAGGGCCCCACAGTAGTCATGGCCGTGCACAAGTGAAACATGATCAGTGTCCAAACTCCTGGTTTTAGCCTTGCTCCATTCTTCCAGCCTTCCAGAAGAATTACTGAGATAACCGTAGAATGACCCTCACTACCCTCACTACCCTCACTTTGTGACAGGACCAAAACCACAGAAAACCCCTCCATTTTGACTTTCCTCCAAATCGTCTAACGTGACCCCAAGCCTCATGAGAAGTCCCCGCTCGGCCCATCTTGCAGATGTCCTCTGCCACATTCTTCTGCCTGAGGAGCTGACCCAGTTCGTTCGGGACAGGGATCTTCCTGGTGGGCTGTAACAGCAGGAAGGACAACCCCTCCCAATTGCAGATAAAATAGGGCAGTTAAAACTTAGGGTTGACTTTTAGTTTTTACTGCCATGTGGTTCTATCTATTTTGTGGTCCTGTAGAGATACTAATATGTCAGAATCACCGTTCAGCTTAAAGCTCCCAAGGGCTTGCAGCCTGCCATTGAAAAGAGATTCATGCATTTGCTCACCCACGTCTTCACTTTCCACGGCTTAAGTCTCTCACTTAGAACTTGGAATCCTGGCACACCAGCATCGAGGTGCTCAGGGCCTGACACACTAGGAGGTGCTGGGACAGGATGAAGACAGTGGCTGCCCAGGAACCTGCCACTGTCCGGGAGCAGAAGGGCTCCCTTCACCAGCAGAGACCAGGATGTCTTTGTCATTGAGCCAGGCTCAAAGTAGGATCCCTGTAAAGAACAAAGAAGGCCTGAAGGTGGAAGGAAGTGAGCAAAGCCCCAGAGAGGGGGAGATCCTGCTGTCTTGGGGTTCACCATGCAGAGCATTGGGGAGCTTGGGCCCAGGAAAGAGTGGAAGTGGGTGAGGCTGGTGGGGAGGATGGGGCTGCACTGGAATAGCCCTTAGTGTGTATACATGGTCCTCCAGCCACAGGCAGTTGGGACCCCATTTTAGGCAAAGGACTGGTGTGACCAAATCCGTGTCAGAAAGATCATTCTATCACAGGCAAGAAGAAAGATTGCTTTAAGTATGACTCATGGGGCTGAACTTTGAGGGTTAGTTCATAGTCTAGAAGAGGTATTTATTATCTCTACCAGGCTGTGAGACTAAAGGGCCTAGTGTGACCAGCTAAAAAGCTTTGACCATACTCTGTGTATTACTTTGGGCCTTTACTTTTGAACAGACCAAAGACATGGACACATCCACCAAAGGAAACCAAGACCTCACATAATTCTGTCTCTTACACACACAGCAGAGTATGTTCAGGTACGATTCCATGTAAGCGTTTTAGAACATGAAACTTGCTCAGAGACCACATCATGACCTTGCCAAAAATTCAGGTTGGAAATTTCTAGATCAAATGATTTCTTAGCTCACCTCTCACTCTGACAACCCCAAATCTGTAACAAGGAAAGCAATGCTCTTGCCAAAGCATACAATGCATCATGATGTCAGACTTTGGGATTATGGACTGCTTGGGATTTTCCACACCGCAGCTCCCCTTCATTACTAGGGATAATTGAGAGTTGACTGCAGTTGTTACTGCTGTAGTGATGGGTATTTGAAGCTAAATTCCGGCAAGGAAATGTGTGAATACTTATCTCAGCTGCAGAAAGTTAATGCAGTGTGGCATTAATTACCCTGCCCGAGCCTGCTGTCGTCTTCTGTTTTTAGGTGTCATTCTCAGTTGGATAAATTAGTTTCCAAAATTAGAATAGAGCAAATTGTAGGGTGAGATCAAGGCAGCCTGACTTCGTAGGGCATTCAAAAAGAAGAAGGGGCCAAAACCAAGGTCTGTCGGGAATGATGCGTCCCTGGAGCCCCGCGCAGGCCAAAGGAAATGCTTCTTCCATTCTGAGCATTCTCTGTTCCACCTTGGTTGATACACCCACCCTGGACACATACACAACAAACTTCATGTTTAACCTTACAACAGTTATTGGAAGCAGTTTAAGATATTGGCAGGAAATAGATAAGGTGCTTAATAAACCCTCTTGCTGCAGATATTTATCAATTTGATTTTGAAAGAATAAAGCCAAGTTGAAGGGTCTTCAAATAGAGAGATCACAGCAAGGAAACCAGAATCCATGTCATAGTCTTCCACAGGTTCAAAGTGTCCTCCTTGTGGACCTGCTGTGGTTAGTCCTGTGTGTCCAGTGGCACAAGGACTGGTGGGAACCTTGAGCCAGGACGTGGAAGGCAGGCTCCCATACTTCCTATCCCCAGAAGGGTGACGGTTGTGCTGCTCCTTCCAATTTCAAGGGCAGTGTGAAACCTGTCAGATGCAGGGACTGACTGGCCCTGTGTTACATTATAGAGTTGGGGGTCTCAGAGCTGAGAATGTTCCTTCTCCCTGGACAGATGAACATGGAATGAGTCCTAGAGGAAGATGCTTTGGACCTAACAGCAGGAAGGCCATCTTCCACTCTTAGCATGCTGACTCAGTGCTTGTATGTCACCAAGGAAGCCAGAGCACTCTGTGCTGGGCTGAGAAGCCTTACTTGAGCAGTCATAGGCCCGGACATTGTTTCCTTGCACTCTCAGCATAGATCAAGGAGGGGTGATGCATTCCATACTAGAGGTAGCACGGTGACCTCAAGACTGTAGAACCTCTCTGGGCTCCAGTTTTTACAGTAAAATAGGTGAGAAAGTATAAAAGCTGCTCCTAGCACTGTTAGGCAGATAAAACAAGACAAAAAGTGCTTTATAAACCCTCAAACATTCTACAGGTGGAAAAGCTCATGTCCTGCACCCTGAAGCCATTGTAATAAAGCATAAAAATCACCAGACCCATAGTTCTCATGTTCTAAATTTTCTAGTTCTGTGAATACGGACAAATCACCTTACTTTTCTGTGCCTCGTTTCTTACTTGCAAATAATGTAAAGTACCTGCCTTTCAATGTGGTTGTAATGAGTTAAAAATATAATACCTAACAGGGCACTGGGCCCAGTGGGTGTTCATGGATTGCCAATTCACTTGGGAGATTCAAAAAATAAGCAAATGTGCAGGCCCTTGCCCACAGGGCAGGAGGCAAGCTAACATATGAAAGATGGCGAATTATGACATCGCTGTGCCTCCTTAATCCTAACACAAAGCAAGATGGCACCAAGGTCAACTCTACGTGCCTAAGAGAGGCTATGGATCTGATTTGGGTGGCCAGCATGTGCTGGGACCTCTCAGCCTGTGCTGGAATTTGGTGTGGCATAAATAGGGCCAAACACCATCTCCTGTCACTGCGGTTGGATTGTAGGTTTGGCAGGCTGATGAGAACCCCTGTGTGTGTCCCAGTGTAGCCCCATGCATGCAGGCAAAGCACTGGCCAACTGCAAGACTCCAGGTGAATGGAAACACATCCCAGAGCTTTTGATTAAGAATGAAAGGTCCTTGCTATCTGTGCTGCTCAGCTGCTCACTCAGTCACCACTGCACTTGGGGACAGAGTGCAATGTGAAGTGCCATATCAGGGATCTCCACCAAGACACTCGTTAAATGCTGTTAGGAAAATGTCCACTGGCTCATTGCAGCATTGCATTCTCTGAATGTGTAACTGTCCAGCAGTGAGCTAGATGCCTGTCTAGCTCTGAGCTTATCTCTGATTCGCCCAAGCACAGTTTATGCTATGGGACAAACTGTATCATTCCCGTTTCAGGATTGGAGGAATTGAAGCTCAGGAAGGGTGTCATTGGCCCACACCACACAGTGTTTCCAGCTCTCTCTGCTGTACCATGTTATTTCTCTAGATTTTGATGAGTAGATGTTTTTTAGTGACAAAGATTTTGCCAAAACGGTGTGCATGATCCAGTAACCCAAAATAACCCAAGGTCATCCATCATCCCATCACCTTTCTGTTGTCAATCGCTAACCCCCTTCCTAAAGCTGTAACCCCCTTCCTAATTCCGTCTCAGCACATGCCTTCCTCCCCTCAACCCATGGAAAAGGGCAGGCCTCACTTTGTCTGTCTGTCCACAGGAGCCGGAGCCTCTCTATGCACAGATCAACAGACCTAAGAAATAGCGTCGATGCAGGCTGATGGTGGGTGTATGGAGACTGGCATGGAACATGCATCACAACAGGCTCTCTCGTATTCTTCCACTTCCTCTCATTCCACAAGGAAATTCACAATTGCCCAACGGATCTCATTTCGAAGAAGGAACAGCATTTTTGGCAACCAGTGGCAGATACATATGGCAGCACAAAGAAAGAAGAAAGAAGAAAGAAAGAAAGAAGAAAGAAAGAAAGAAAGAAAGAAAGAAAGAAAGAAAGAAAGAAAGAAAGAAAGACCCACAAAAGTATTTTTACAAGCCACACCCAACATTAAATCACAAATCAAGCAATGCTTACCCAACAGATATTCTGAGCTCTCCTGGCTAGGTTTAAAATGACCCAGAATATAAAAAGCTTAATTCTGCTTTGTTTTTTCTCTACACGTTGACCAATATAGAGACGGCAGATTTGGAGTGACAGGCATCCGAGAATCACAGCAAGGGTGGCGCTGACTTTCAGGCAAGGCATGGGTCCTCTGGGACCATGGTTTCGTCATCCACGAGCCTTTTGGCATATGAAAACATTTGCTCCTCGATCCCCAGAGTGTGGGCTGCCATCTCACTACTACTCTCCTTTCTTTGTCATGTTTGAAAATTAATGGGTGTACAAATTTTGTATTGCTTTTGACTTTTTTTTTTTTTTTTAGATATGGGTGAAGAAATCTAACTGGGAACAAAAAGCCTCTTTTAAAGTGAATTAACCTTAAATCACAAAACAGTAAGTGGTTTGATTATTTAATGTGGTCAAGATCATTGCCAAAACAACCCCGTAGCTATTCTGCACCCTGCTGAAGAAAGACCTTTTTCAGTGCAAGTCTTCATTCTGTGAGTAAGAAAGGACATCAAGCCCCACTGGTGGGAAAGATGAGAAGCGCATCTAATTTCCTAAGAAGCTCTAAACTCTGAGTACAATAAAATAATATTTTTATTTTTTTTCTGATACTTTGCTGCTGTGATACTATGCAGACAAGTGTCTCCTCCACGTGCCATTTTCAAAGAAAATTCATTTGCCAAATAATTCTGGTACAATTCTGGTAATGTGGTTTTGGATCTCAAAAACCAGCTTTCTGACAGGACAATGGTAACATAAACATTCAGCATCACACACTGATTCTGTGGTCAAAACGGTCCATCTCTATCTCTTTTTGTACATCAGAAAATTCGAATGGGATTTTTATTTTATAACTTAAAAAAAAAAAAACCTTACCATTAAACTCTTTAAATATTTAAGGGAAATGGCTTTAAGGAGTTCTAATGAAAAAAAAAAATTGTCAGTTTTTTTGTAAATATAAATGTTAATGAAAATGCTTTTTAATAATGCCATTACACCATAGGGAAGGTAGCCGAGGGAGTGCAGGTGTGACAAATGTAATGAATGGGTTCACTTTCCAGACAGTGCTGCGGAGCATGCGGTAGGAAGCGGGAGTCCAGGGGCAGCGGGCAGGAGCAGCTAGCCAATCAGCAGCCAGAGAACCACCAGAAGGGTCGTGAGACTCCATCACCCAGCCCTTCCGCGCAGCCGTGAAGGCAGTTCACATTTGGAAGGCCCGGCCCACAGATTCCAGAACCTTCCCACCTCTCCACCCCACCCATCTGCCTCTAAGTCACTGGGCTGTTTGTATGTGAAGCGGAAGGGTCTAAGCTTCCTGTTTTTACATTTATGGGACAAAAAGTGCAGTGTTCGGTTCGTATATTTAGCACATGATTTTCATAAAGAATCTATATATTTTTGCCCTACAGAGAATTGTTATACAGGTCAGATGTGTTTTCCTGAAGTTCCTATGCAGTCACAGTATATTGCATTTAGTGGTTTAACGGCAGAAGCAAACTTGCAAGAGTCATGTGGTTCATTGGATTCGTGGATAATCATTATTACTTTGAAAAGTAGATTTACATTGATATGGCTGGTTTAAATAGGCCTGTATGCTTAGGCTCTTCATATCAATAGAAATGAAAATAATTTGGAAGATCAATTTTAAAATGATTGTATACCTGATGAGACAAAAAAAAAGGTGATACATCAAAGTGATATTTGAAGCCCACATTTTATATAATCATGTCACTAGAATCTAATTTTTCTCTGGGTAGATAGACCATGCAAGTATCCATTACGGAATATGTGTAAATATCACCTTAATGTGGAAAGTCTTAAGAAACAGCGAATGAGCTCTGAGTCGGTCGTGTGTTGGTGTGTAAGATTTGTCCCCAGGAATGTGTGCACAGATTGTACTGAGGTAACCCCATCACCTACAAGAGAAGTAATGAAGGGTGTGACAACCAAGAGGGCTGTCGCAAAGCCAGTTCAGTGGCGTGTGTGCTCTGGAGACAAGGCGGGCGAGGCAGTCTCCTGGGGAGGTTGCTCTGTTGTTCTGTGTCTGGGATTCTGATTCTTTACAAGTGGTGCTATCTTCTCCCTCAGTGTGGCCGTCTTGGGGTTTGTCCTGAAGTACCACACCGTTGTCCCCATTCTTGGGGTTACTTCTGAGACATGCGCAGTGAACTCTAGCTGCTGTTGCTGTAGCAGTGCAACGTCTGGAGCTGATTTCGAGCAGAAAGGGACAGCCCCTCATCACTGAACGTGACTGATTATGAAACTGGGTCTGAGATGAAAGAAGATGTCCGTGGGCTGCATTCCAGTGAGGGGGAATAAAGTCCAGATTTGAAACTGCCGTCTGTGTTCTCGTGGGCAGAGTTCAGCCCTTTTCCCCAACCACTGTTTGGTGAGGCCCGAATCGCCACACCCCACCCCAGAAATACAGTGACATTTGCAAGCAAGATCTGAGGTGCCAACACTACGAGAGCGTGAGGAGTCTGCACAGTTCTGATTAGATCAATAGAAGACCCATGTGTACAACTGTTAATTCCTCATGTTCAATAGCACTAAATTTGTCACTTTAAATTTTGAAACCAGGGAAACGCCACCTGTCATTCTGTCCCCATTCCGCATAGCTCTTCAATCTTTACATGCCCCAAGACTTTTTTGGTAGCTCATATCATCCCAGTGTCTACTGAATCCCTATCATCCAACATACCGGGCACCATCTTTTTTAAAAAAAATGTTTACTCTGTGGGTTTGGTTCATTTCAATTTCTGCATTCCGACACATATTTTTTTAATAAAGATGAGAAAGAGAAAATGACTGTTGCAGTACATTTCTAGACCTACTTTAACTTTACCTCAGCTGACAGTTTGTTAACATATATGGACACATTATTTTTAACTTTATGTACAATGCATTCAACAGAACAGCAAAATTTTTAGAAATTTTCCATTAATTTCTGTAACACACCATGTAAAACTGTTACAAATAAACATGTTTGAGAACAACAGTTTAGTCTGGTTTTGTTCCACAAGTTTACACTGAGTAGTAATCAGGTGATGGGTTTAAGAGGTCATTTCTGCCTGTGTTTCCATCTGACCAGAAGATGGCCTCTGTGTCCCATGCTGTGGGCCAGAAGCAGCAAGCTGCGCTGAGACGTTAGGTCACTTCACCCTCCTCCCTCCCCTGAGCCCAGGCACTTGCTGACTGGAAGATGTTAGGACCAGCAGGCCTGGTGTAGGAGTAGCCACATGGAGCGTGGGCCGGTCAGAGATGGGGAAGCCCCTTCGGATAGCTGTCTTCTCAAAACTCATCTGCAAAGTGGATTGGGAAGCTAAGTTTGATCTACGCCAGTGGTGGCAAATCTGTGGCACGCATGCCCCAGCAGGTTAAGTCCCGCCAGAGGCCAAGCATTGGATATTCAGATTTGATTGAAGTGTTGGCACTTTGCAATGAAGTTTGAGCTGCTAAAATGCTTGCTATTGCTGCTCTCGACTGTCTGCGGTTCCATATCTTTCATTTCAAGGTCATCTGCTTTGAGGGCCTTCAGGAAGGAAGGATTTATGTTCCTTTACACTTTCTGCATATTCATATCTGTTTTAAAGTCTGAAGCTGGATTTTGACTTCTCTGTGTATTGAGGGAAAAGCATGTATATGTATGTATATGTGTGTATGCGTTTGATTTTTATTTTTTTAATAAATTTGTTTAACCATTCAATAAAAAACCAGTTTGTAGGCAGCAGTCAACATAGGTCATTGAGATATATTAAAAAAAAAAAAACTGTCTGGAAATGATTGCATCAATGATTGCTTAAATACAAACCTTTGATGTGGCCTTACATGTGCCTGGAAGGTTCTAGATGCTTTGTGTCCACGACTCTGTTCATGTTCTAGAGAACCTGAAAAGAAAAATACTATTGACAGTATGTAAAGAAACTGAAATTAAATTCCCCAGCTAGCAACTGACAGAGTTGTGACTTCAATTTTTAGTCTCTTTGCTTACAGTTGATTCCAATTTTAAAAATATTTGGATATTCATTGTTGTAAATAGGTCAACATAATTTCTTGAAAAACTCTATGCTCATATCAGTTTTCTAGGCCTCTAGTTGATCTTTGGTCATAATTTAGATTTCTGAGTTCAAGTTAACGTAAACATAAAAATCCACTAGCTCTTGCTATCTTAACTTGCTAAATATACAGTTGCTTCTTTAATTGGCACCTTAGGAGTGTGTGTGTGTGTGTGTGTGTGTGCGCGCGTGTGTGCGTGCGTGTGGGGGGGGTGCTCGCGCATGAGCACACTCCCAAGAGAGAATAAATCTTCTATCCAGATCATACAAGTTTAGCTGCAACTAGTGCTAGGAATTTACTTTGCTATACTAAATGAATCTTAAAGAAGTGACAAATTAAAAGGTATCCTATTTAACTGCTAGGTGTATGCCAAAATAAGTCAGCAGATGTATCTGCCTTCATTTTGTGCTTGAGAGCAAACTCTTGTTGTTTTGACAGTAAATGTTTTTTGTTTTACGCAGAATGACAGCAGGAAAAATGCCTAGAATAAAAACAGGTTTCATTGAAATCAACATGCAGAGCTTTCAAAGCTTTTAAAAGATGTTGAAATTCAAGGAGAAAGGGAGCGATGGTGCTTGAAAGATGAGAGAGAGAGAGAGAGAGAGAGAGAGAGAGAGAGAGAGAGAGAGAGAGAGAGCAATGTAAAGTGGTCCAGCCATTTAGTACCCAGTTCTCCGTACTTGTGTTAAACTATGAATAATGGTCACCACGGTGTGACCCTGCTTGGTCCAGACCTCTCCTTTTCTAGCTGCCATTTGCAAATTTTTGTG